CAGGGGTGAAGAGTGCTTGCTCTTTGAGAGGACTCGGGTTCTGTTCCCAGCACCCACAGAGTGGTTCGCGGCCATCTGTAGCTCCAGGAGATCTGAGCCCTCTTCTGACTTCCGTGGGCACCAAGCACTCATGGCTATACACATACACATGTAGACGAAACACTCACACACATAAAATAACTTTTTTTTTTTCATAATTGGAGGAAACTTGAGCCCTGGGAAGGAAAGAGCCAAGGATGAAGAGTGTGGTGAGGAAAGAGGTGCTTGAGGGACACAGAAAGGAGTCATGGTTTGTGAAAGAAGCCATTCCCCCCCCCACACACACACACACACAGAGTTTCTTTGTGTAGCTTTGGAGCCTGTCCCGGATCTAGCTCTTATAGACCAGGTTGTCCTCGAACTCAGAGACCCACCTACTTCTGCCTCCTGAAGACTTGGGATTAAAGGCAGGCACCACCACCGCCTGGCTGAAAGTGATTCTTAAAAGCCAAACTGCACCCTGATGGTGGTGACACACACCTTTAATCCCAAAACTCAGAAGGCAGAGGCAGGCGAATCTCTGAGTTTGATGTTAGCCCACTCTACAGAGTTTCAGGATAGCCAGGGCTACAAAAAAAGAAAAGAAAAAGGAAAAACAAACTGTCTCAAAGGCCAAACTGCACATAGTTTCAGGGTTTTGTGAAGGACCTGAGTAGATTCCTGTATCATAGAAATTAAGGTGCTTGGTGAGCCGGATAGGGAGAAATAGGCCTTGGAAGGGAAGGAAGTGGAGTCAAGTGTCAGGGAGGGGATGTCTAGGCTGGAGGAATGGTGAAGGTTATCTAAACATGAGGCTGGACACAGGGGCCACCAAGGACAGACAGCTAAAAGAACACGGCCATCGACAGGGAGTTTGAGTGGCATTGACCCAGAGAACAGGGCACTTGAGTTACTAGGCAACCAGTCAACAGCCTCAGGCAACACCCGAGCTGGGCCCTCCAGGGAATGTCGTTTGCAGTTAATAGTGTCTGGGATGTGGGGAGATGGCCACAGGACCACAGATTGCTTCATGGGCAAGGGTTGACTTCCTCTGTTCTTATCTTCCTGTGTTGACAGAAAGTTGGGCATCCTTCGGAGGATGAATGGGCTGTTAGGCAGAGCAAGGGACATGGGAAATTCACTGGGTATCAAGTCCCATCAGGAGAGGGAAGAAGAATGTCACAGCTTTTGTCCAAACTCAGTACAAGGAAAGAAAGGAACAGATACATCTAGGGGTGTGGCTTACACCGCATTAGAGATCTTACCTAGAACCCCCCAGTGAGGGGCTGGGGTGTGTCTCAGTGGTAGAGCCCCTGCCTAGAATCCTCCAGTGAGGGGCTGGGGTGTGGCTCAGTGGTAGAGCCCCTGCCTAGAATCCCCCAGTGAGGGGCTGGGGTGTGAGTCACAGAGGAGGCTGACACAGAAGGGTCAGAGGTTGAAGACTGGAACAGACCTGGCACTTGCTGATTTCCAGGCTGGCCCGGAATGGTTACTCACAGTGTAACGCCGTCTGGTTGAAATGTACAGCAACCCTTCATGGCACCGGATGTCAAGTGTGCTGCTGTACCAGATACCAGGCTGGTACTGCGTAACGATTAAGGGAGCTCTTCATCGTACACACTGTGCAGGGTCCCTGTCACATCGTGATACATGGTCAGCCCAAACCCTGCCCCCACTGTCCTCCAGTCCCCTTATGGATAGCTTCAGACTGTGGAATACCATGAGGAGCATCTCTTAGCAAAGGAAAAGGAGATGGCTGCTGGCTGGTACCCTGCCCTGCCCCCCCCCCAGGTGCTTGACTGAGGTAATAAAGACGAGCTGGAAGTTCACTGAACAGGGAGGGGCTCACTCCATAGTGGGAAGGGCGGCTGCAGAAGACGTGACCGCTGAGACGATAGGCAGGTGGGCCGTGAAGGAGGGTGACCAAGTAGAAGCTGGTGATAGTCTCCACCCGAGCTCACACAGTGGGGAGGCATGGAGAAAGGAAGACGGGGGCCCGCGAGGATGGCTCAGTCAGTAAAGTGTTTGCTATGGAAGCGTGAGGACTTGAGTTTGGTCACCAGAACTTCCGCTTAAAAAGCGGGGTGTGCTGTCGTGTGCCTGTAACCTCAACACTGGCGAGGTAGAGATGGCGGGGGGGGGGATGGAGGGGGGGACAGGACCTGGGACTCACTCACTGGCTGGTTAGCCGAGCCTACTTGGTGAGCTGCAAGCCAGTGAGAAACTCACCTGACCGACAGTGGTGGTGCACACTTTTAATCCCAGTACCCAGGAAGCAGAGACGGGTGGATCTCTTGTGTTCGAGGCCAGGCTGGTCTACAGCTTGAGTTCCAGGACAGCTTGGAACTACACAGAGAAACCCTTTCTGGAGGGGGCGGGGAAGCTAGTCATAGGGCTAGTTGAGGTGGTTCTGTGGGAAAAGGGACTAGCCACCAAACCCGATGACCCTGAGTTCAATCCCACGTGATGCAAAGGAAGAACCAACTCCCACGGGTTGTCCGCGAGCTCTACGCACACAGTCTGGCACACCCACAAATTCAGTACATAAGTAAATAAATAAATGTTTAAAAAAATATATGACGGTGAATAGCATCACCCACCTTAACAGCTACGGTTGTAGTGGACCACATGTGTACGCACACACAAAGAAGGAAAGAACGGAAGACTTGGTACTCCTAATACTAGTCCTCAGGAAGCTGGATCCGGGGAATTGCTTCAAGTTCCAGGCTTTCCTGGGCCTGTGTGTAACCATGAGGACCTAGAACCCAGGTATAGCCTGAAATGCCCTGTAGTGGGGGTGGGGTGGAGAGACAGGATATCACTGGGGCCAGCTAAGTAACAGTGTAAGCTCCAAGTTCCAGAGAGACCCTGCCACAAAGGAATAAGGCGGGGAGGGATAGAGGAGGACACGCAACACCCTTCCCTGGCTGCTGATATAATAGGCACACGTATTAGTGTGCTTGCTTGCGTGCGTGAGTGCATCTGTGTACCACACAGACACATATACAAACAGTAAAGGGAAGGAAATGTCTGCATATCCTAGAGCAGTGGTTCCTTTCCAATGCTGCTGTGACCCTTTAACACACTTCCTCATGTGTGGTCTCTCTCTCACACACACACACCGCCAACCGTAAAATTATTTCATTGGCTACTTCGTAACTAACTTCGCTATCATTATGAATTGTAATAATTAATCTAGTATGCAGGATATCTGATATGCCATGACCCCCAGGTTGTCCTGGAGGGTCAGGTGGGGTGAAGTTCACAGACACAGGCCACTTTGTGGACCAGCGAGAGCAGCAGGTCCCTCCATCTCCTCTGACCTAAAGGCCCTCTCTGAGGCGGTGTGCACAATGAATTGAGATGGACGTCCAGCAGCTGGCTGGCCCCCTGGGACATGTCACTTCAACAGCTTATTTATTTATACCTCATGTCCACAGAGGCCCTAGTTGCCGTCTGCTGGTGTTTATGCCCTCCAGACCAATGTGTCTGCTCTATTTCTGGAGTGTCCCTACAGCTTTGAGGGTGACTGGAGTATGTGTCTTGCCCATTTCTGTATACCAGGCTCTTGCTCTCTCTCTCTCTCAGGCAGCTGGGAGGCCCATCCCTCCCGGCATGCACCTGTTTGAGCCATCCGGAAGCTGGAAGCTTCAAGGCTCTCTCTGAGGATGTGGGACCCCTATGAAGGAAGCAACACCCCTCCTAGAATATTGATTGCCACTTACAAGGTGATGGTTTAGTGTTGTTACTCTGAGGCACTTAGATAATTATAAAATGGCCAGGCCGGTGGTGGTGCACATCTTTAATCCCAGCACTTGGGAAGCAGAAGCAGGTGGATCTCTGAGTTCGAGGCCAGCCTGGTCTACTGAGTGAGCTCCAGGACAGCCAAGGTGACACGGAGAAACCCTGTCTCTAAAAGAGTTACAAGTTGGCTGTGAAACAGGCATGGATAGAGATGTCACGAAGGAACCGAAGAGGGCTGACGAGATGGTTCAGTGGGTAAAAGGGGCCTGCGGCTAAGTCTGCCAACCTGAGCTCAGTCCACAGATCCCACATGGTGAACAGAGTTGTCCTCTGACCTCCACACGTGCACCACAGCCTGCTCACGTTTGCACAGACACAGGTGAAAAGGGGAGGAGCTGGAGCTAAGTGTGTGTTAGTGACACATCAGAAAAATTAACAACACAAGAAGTATGTGTCACCTGGCCCCAAACAGGCATCCTCTTGAAGATCGGTTTTGCTGGCTGGTTGTTCTGTTTCGGGATTTTATTTATAAGGATGCGCACGAATGTGCCTGGCTGAGGTTCATGCGCACCATAGGGAGGTCAGAGGGAGTTGGGTCTGCTGGAACTGGAGTGGCAGGCAGTTGTAAGCCTCTTGATACGGATGCTTGGAACCGAACCCAAGCCCTCTACAAGAGCAGTAAATGCGGTTGACCACAGCTGTGTCTTCAGCCCCTTGAAGATCAGGTTTGTGACATGCCATTCACACATAGCAAATGCTGCTCTTTTAGCCGGCTGTGGTGGTGCACATCTGTAATCCCAGCCCTTAGTGGGTAGAGGACTGGGACATGCAGGTCAGCCTTACAACGTGAGTGATGAATGAATTGGAGCCCAGCCTGGACTGTGTTAAAAAAAAAAAAAAAAAAAGTCACCCTTTTTAGTGGACAGTTCTTTGGGTTTGATGGAGATGTAGGATTTTGCAGCCACTGCTGTATACCAGAAAGTACACAGGGAACCTGATGACGTAGCTTAGTGGTAGAGCCCCTGCTTAGAATCCCCCAGTGAGGGACTGGGGTGTGGCTCAGTGGTAGAGCCCCTGCCTAGAATCCCCCAGTGAGGGGCTGTGATGTGGCTCAGTGGTAGAGCCCCTGCCTAGAGTCCCCCAGTGAGGGGCTGGGGTGTGGCTCAGTGGGAGAATACCTGTGACTCAGCAGGGGGCCTTCCCAGACTAACCATATGTTCCTGTGTCTTTCTGCTCAGGTGCAAGTTTTTCAGTCTGACAGAGACCCCCGAGGACTACACCATCATCGTGGATGAGGAAGGTTTCCTTGGTAAGTGGGCTCCATCACAAAGCGCCTCCTTATTTCCTTTTCTATTTTCTTTGTTGTTCAAAAAAAAATGGTGGAGGGAATCTGTTTGGGGTGTTTTTGTTTTGTCTTTTGGAAATTTGGAGTTTGGTGGTGATGGGTTTTTTTTTTAACCTTTTCCATTTATTGGTTTGTTGTGTATATGCACACACATGGCAGAACATGGGTGTGGAGGTCAGAGGGCAACCTGTGGAAGCCAGGTCTACCCTTCCATGTGGGCTCTAGGTGTTACCCTAAGATCCTCAGGCCTGGTGCCAGCACGTTTACCTGCTGAGCTATCTTACTGGCATTTGTTTTTGTTTGTTTCTGAGATAAGGTCCCAGTATAGCTCAGGCTAACCCAAACTTTTGATGCTCCTCTACAGCCTCCCAAATGCTGAAATTACAGGAAGGTGACATCATACCTAATTTTTTCCCATTCTCTTTCTTTAATGTTTTTCATACAAAATCATTTTTATGTGTTTAGTTAATGTGCATGTGTGTGTGTGTGTGTGTGTGTGTGTGTGTGTGTGTGTACTGTGTGCATGCAGAAACCTGTGGAGGTCAAAAGAAAGCATCAGACCCTCTGAAACTGGACTTTCTGGCTACCGTGGAAACCAGGTCCTCTGCAAGAGCAATAAGGGCTCTTAACCACTGAGCCATCTCTCTTATCCTTATTTATCCATTTTTTAAATTTAAATATCATTTGGTTATCATAAAATATATCCTTTTGAGGATGAAAAAGATGGCTCGGTGGTTAAGAAGACAAGATGAAACTCCAGAGGACCTGGGTTTGATTCCCAGCCCCACCCGGTGACTCCCAACCACCTGTCACTCCAGTCCCAGAAGATCTAATCCTCCTTCTGGCAACTGTGGGCACCAGGCACGCAGATGATACACAGACAGATGTACAGGCAAAACACCCATACACATAAGATATAATAATTTTTCAAAAATGAATCACCATTTCTTTTTTTTTTTTTGGTTTTTCGAGACAGGGTTTCTCTGTGGCTTTGGAGCCTGTCCTGGCACTCGCTCTGTAGACCAGGCTGGTCTCAAACTCACAGAGATCCGCCTGTCTCTGCCTCCCGAGTGCTGGGATTAAAGGCGTGCGCCACCATCGCCCAGCCACCATTTCTTTTCTGAAGTAGAAGTATGGCTTGTTGTTGTATTTGGTTTTTGAGATAGTCTCGAGTACCTGAGACTGGCCTTGAACTCTCTACTTAGCTGAAGACGGCCTTGACTTTCTGACCCTCCTTGTCTCTAGTGCTGATGTTCTAGGTGAGTGCCACCACACCTGGATTATGCCGCACTTTGGGGCGAAACCCTGGTTCTCGTCCCTGCTAGGCCAGCACTCTACAATATCCCTTGACCCTCAGTGGTTGAGGGGGGCTGTTTAATCACCTCGAACTGAAGCTTTCCACCCATTAGCAGTTTCCACCTCTCCTCCCCAAACCCTGATGCTTACTTCCTTGTTTGAGCAGTTTCTTGACAAGCCAGGTGTGGTGGCACATACCTGTAATCTCAATATGTGCGGGGAAGAGACAGGCAGATCGCTGTGAGTTCAAAATCAGCCTGGTCTACAAGAGTGAGTTCTAAGCCAGCCACAGCTACACGGTGAGAGACCCTGTCTCAAAATAAACAACAGAAATTAATGCCGCGCATTAAGCTTTACTTGACTATTTAGTCATTTATCTTTGCAGCTCCAGAGATGACTCTCGGTCATCCTGAGAGGTCAGGTGACCTGCTGAGCCACACCCCCAAAACCCACTGTCCAGCTTTACATTGATTTTTCCCCCCAGAGGCTCTCTGCAAATGGAAATGCATTTATTTTGTTCTTTCGTGCACCACCGTATTGATGACAGGGCAGAGGGAACCGCTGTATTTTTCTCACATTTATTGGAGTTCTGGAAAAACTAAGAGGCAGCCAGTCTTCAGAAGCCTGTGGAGAGAGACAGGAGGGGAGGCACAGGTCGGTAACCCCAGCATCTGAAAGACTGAGTAGGAAAATCAGTACTTCAGAGCGAGCCTGAGTCACAGTGGAAGACCTTGTGTTCAAGCCCTGTCTTAGTCAGGGTTCCTGTTGCTGTGAAGAGACACCATGGCCACGGCCACTTTTATCAAGGAAAACATTGGGCTGGCTTACAGTTCAGAGGTTTAGTCCATTATTGTCATGGTGGGAAGCATGGCAGGGTGCAGCCAAACACAGTGCTGGAGAAGGTGCTGAAGGTTCTGCATCTTGAGCTGCAGGCAGCAGAAGTGGAGTCACACTGAGCGTAGTTTGAGCATAGGAAACTTGGAAGCCCACCCCCACTATGACACACTTCCTCCAACCACGTCATACTTACTCCAATATAGCCACACCTCTTATGTGTGATTCCCTATGGGGACCATTTTGTTTCAAAGCACTGTAAACACAAAGGGCTGGGAATCTGATTCAGTGATTAGAGCACCTGCCTAGAATCCCCCAGTGATGGGCTGGGGTGTGGCTCAGTGTTAGAGCACCTGCCTAGAATCCCCCAGTGAGGGACTGGGATGTGACTCAGTGGTAGAGCCCCTGCCTAGAATCCCCCAGTGAGAGGTTGGAGTGTGGCTCAGTGGTAGAGCCCCTGCCTAGAATCGCCCAATGAGGGGCTGGGGTGTGACTCAGTGGTAGAGCCCCTGCCTAGAATCCCCCAGTGAGGGACTGGGATGTGACTCAGTGGTAGAGCACCTGCCTAGAATCCCCCAGTGAGGGGCTGGGGTGTGGCTCAGTGGTAGAGCTGTTGCCCATATTCAAAGCCCCAAGTTCCATTCCCATCAAGAGTTTAAATTCATGACTTGGAACTTGGATTTGCCTCACTTGCTAGTTCCTGAGCTTCCCCCATGGAAAACCGTACTCCAGGGATATCTGTCCTTGGGGAGGAAAACCAAACTTGTGTGTCTTGATTGAGATGGTATCTGCCACTAAAACAGGAGGCTCTCATCACCAGGCCCAACAGCCTTGCATTCAGCGGGAACCTTGGGATCATTCCAGTAGCCCACAGGGTAAAGTTAAATGTATATTTTACAGATGAAGAACCGGATGTCCATCAATGGAGAAAATACAAGGCTAGCCTGGGCTACATGAGACCTTGTCTTTAGACTAGAGGGATGGCTCAGGAGTTGAGAGCACTTGAGTTCATTTCCCAACATCTGCATCAGGCAGCTCACAGCCATCTATAATTCTGGCTCCTAGGGCTCTGACACCCTCTTCTGGACTCCGTGGACACCTGCACATACATGAACATATGTACATACATACATGAAATTTTTAATAATAAAAATATATAAATAGGTCTATGATGTCATCGTACTCTAATATATAAGACATTAACCAACAAGCATACCAGAATCTTCCCAAAAATGGCTTACGGTTATGTTCCAAAGACAGGAGGCATTGTCTGTTTTGTCGTGGAACACATTGCAGTCTGACTACTGAGTTCCTTGTTGCTGTGTGGGTTTCACAACTTGCCATCAGCAGGAGGTGTGGTTGACATCAGGGGTGAGAAGGGTGACCACCTCACCAAGCTTCATTTCAGGATTCCCAGGCTCCCGGAAATCCCCAAGAGACAATAGGGGCTTCAAATGCCACCCCGCAAGAAGCCCTTGGTTATTAAGTTTGGGCTCCTTAGAAGTCTAAAAGCAAAAGGCTGTGGAAATGAACCAGTTGGTAATGTACTTGGCAAGCAAGTAAGAGGACCTGAGATTGGATCCCCTATAGAAAGAAAGAAAGAAAGAAAGAAAGAAAGAAAGAAAGAAAGAAAGAAAGAAAGAAAGAAAGAAAGAAAAGGCCAATTGGTGGTGGCATGGTGCACGCCTTTAATCCCAGCAATTTGGAGGCAGAGACAGGTGGGTCTTTGTGAGTTTAAGGCCAGCCTGGTCTACAAAGCAAGTTCCATGACAGCCAGGGCTACACAGAGAAACCCTGTCTTTAAAAAAAAAAAAAAAAAAGGAAGGAAGGAAGTTGTGGTTTGTGCCTGTAACCCCAAAGCTAGAGTTGCAGAGGCAGGAGAATTCCTGATGCTCACTAGCCAGCTAGTCTGGTTCAGTAAGAGACCCTGTCTCAAAAAAAGGGGAGAGGGGGGGAAGGGAGACAGGCAAGATGGCTCAGTGGGTAAGGGTGCCCACAACCCAGCCTGATACCTGAGTTTCATCCCCACAGCCTGCCTACATGGTGGAAAGAAGACTGGCTCTCACAGGTGGTTCTCTGACCTCAACATGTGTGCGATGGCACACAGGCCTGCATACATACATATATACACACATACATACACATATATATGCATACACATGCAGTAATAATAATGTTTTTAAAAGGTGATAGCCATTAAGAAGACACCAACTAGACCTCTGACCTTCCCGTGATAGGTGTGCACACATACACATAGAAAAGAATTCCAGCACTGAGCCCAGTCAAGGTCTGGGCAGGGCCAGGGCTTGGGAATCTTGTTCCTGAAGAAACAGGTAGGAAGAACAGAGCTCACCTCCTGGGCAACAGGGAGTCACAGAAGCCCAAGACCCAGGCATTGCCCCTCCCCGGCACTTCTTCCTCCCTCTCCTGTGAAGCTGCCTGCCTCTCCATTACTAGCTGGCTGACCACAGGCCCTTCTGAGTCAGCAGGACCAATGGGCTTCCCCTAGGCTGTGGTCACCATGGTGACTGAGCTAGGCAGATAGGATTCTGATAGACTTTACTCTGCATCCTCTCCTCACGAGCCATCTTTTCTGGAAGCTGGCCCGGCCCCCTCCCCCTCCTATTCTCTGACATTACTCCCAACCCCATCTCTTTGGGGACTTACTGCTTCTTCCTGTTGGCCATTAAGACAGGGCCTGGATGGTTTGTTTTTTTTTTTTGTGTGTGTGTGTGGGTTTTATGTGTTTTTTTTTTTTTTTTTTAACCTTTTTGAGACAGGATTTCTCTGTGTAGCCTTGGCTGTCCTGGAACCCTCTCTGTAGACCAGGCTGGCCCCGAACTCACAGAGATCCACCTGCCTCTGCCTCTCAAGTGCTGGGATTAAACTTGTGCACCACCACTTCCTGGCTGACCTGAATTTGTTAAGTCCACTGAGTTTGGATTTTTTTTATTTGATTGATTGGTTTATTTATTTATTTATTTATTTATTTATTTTTGAGGCGCCATCTGATATATATTACAGACTGGTAACTAACTTCAGTCCCATGAAATCCCCCCTTCAGGGGGTCTCCCCTCATAAAGCAACAGGCACAAATGTGGTATATAGGCATACATGCAGGCAAACACCTATATATGTTAAAAATAAAAGTAGGTTTATTTTATAAAGACAAAAATAAATCTTTAAAAACAGATTAAGTTTTTAATTTAAGAAGTAGGAATTCAGGCTGAGCAGTGGTGGGCACATGCCTTTAATCCCAGCACTCAGGAGGCAGAGATAGGCAGATCTCTGTGAGTTTGAGACTAGCCTGGTCTACAAGAGCTAGTTCCAGGACAGCCAGGGCTCTTACACAGAAAAGGCCTGCCTCAAAATAACAAGAAGAAAAAGTAGGAGTTCAGGGCTGATGAGTTGGCTCAGACCTTAAGAGGACCGGGTGTTGATTCCCAGCACCCACATGGTGGTTTACATCTCTGACTCCAGCTCCAGTGAATCTAGCGCCCTCTTCTGGCCTCCACAGGCATTGGGCACACGTGTGATACACAGACAAACGTGGACAACATGCACATAAAATAAAGCAATAAATCACGAAGGCATTACCAACTCTCCTTTACAGTGGAGAACACTAAAGCTAGAGACAGATCAAAGAACTTGGCACGTGCTTCAGGTCCTGTTGCGTTACCTGGCATCATAAGCCATCCAGAATATCACCTGCTTAGCCTTCCCTAGAAGGGACCTTTTAGCCCTCCTGTTTGAGGACACTGGGGGCTGCAGATATGACTCAGTAGTTAAAGGCACTTGATTGCAGAGGACTTCTGCTTGCTTCCCAGCACCAAATGCCTGTAACTCCAGCTCCAGGGCATCCAGCGCCCTCTTCTGGCCTCCTCAGTAATTGCACTCATGTGCATAGAACCACACAGGACACACACACATGCACATACATTAATAAAAATGTTTAAACGCAGAAACTGAGGCCTAGAGACAGGCAAGACCATCTCTAGGGCCTCAGCCGATCCACACACATCTGCCTACCTCTCCAGCCAGGCCTGGCAACACCCGGGCTCCAGACAGTGGACATCTTCATCTATGTCCCATGTTCCCTGCAGAGCTGCCCTCTTCCGAGCACCTGAGCGTGGCTGATGCCACCTGGCTGGCCCTGAATGTAGTGTCTGGCGGCGGCAGCTTCTCCAGCTCCCAGCCCATCGGTGTGACAAAGATCGCCAAGTCTGTCATTGCCCCGCTGGCTGACCAGAACATCTCTGTGTTTATGTTGTCCACCTATCAGACTGACTTCATCCTGGTGAGTCAGAGCTATAGCATGCATGCTCCCATACAGTCAGAGACTGGCTGTGCACGCTCCTAACCGCCTCCGTGTAACACACACGCACGCATGCACACACACACACACACACACACACACACGTGCGCGCGCGCGCCGCTTCTCGCACTCTCCTCCGGTCCCATCTGCTGCTCTTCTCGCCCCGGCCTTGTGCACTACGGCAGGAGGTGGGATGAGCTGGGGCTCAGGGAGTCTGCTTCCCGTCCTCAGGTGCGCGAGCGTGACCTGCCCTTCGTCACTCACACCTTGTCCTCGGAGTTCACCATTCTTCGGGTTGTCAATGGAGAAACGGTAGCAGCCGAGAATCTCAGTATCACCAATGGCTTTGTGAAGCCCAAGATGGGTAAGTTGGGGTAGAGGGGTGTGTCCCCAGCAGAAAGCCCAACTCTCAGAATCCACCTGGTGTTCACCAGATTCCAGGTGGGGGGTGGCTAGCAGTGGCCAGAGATGGCTCACATCTCAGGCCAGCTTGTGGTATCAGAGTGGCTACCTATAGGAGGGACCATGGAGTAGAAGCGTAAGCATTGGGGGCTGAGCCAGATGGTGGCTGCTGGGAAGGACTTTCTCAGCAGCTGAGCAGCTTACACAGAAGCCCAGGGTCCTGAAGGGAAATTTAAGATCAGTGCAGTGGGGGCTGGAGAGATGGTTCAGAGGTTAAGAGCACTGGCTGCTCTTCCAGAGGTCCTGAGTTCAATTCCCAGCAACCACATGGTGGCTCACAACCATCTATAGGGAGATCTGGTGCCCTCTTCTGGTGTGCAGGCAGAATACTGTACACATAATAAATAAGTAAATAAATAAATAAATAAAGATCAGTGCAGTGTGTGCTGGGGGTGAAAAGAAACCCCACATGGGCCGCAGTAAACAAAGTCTGAGGCTTGGTCCAGCTCCTGTACACAAAAGCGCTACTCTGACCTTAATACTTATATCCTGTGTTCTTTCAGTCAAGAGGCCAGTCATCCACCCGTTATCCAGCCCAAGCAACAGGTTCTGTGTCACCAGCCTGGACCCCGACACACTGCCTGCCGTCGCCACGCTTCTCATGGATGTGATGTTCTACTCCAATGGGTAGGTGCTGGGGTAAGGAGTAGACATGGAGATACCGCTCCATCCTGGAGCTCTGAGGGAAAAGACCTCATTTTACCCCTAAGTCCAGTCTGCAGGAGGAGACACATTCTGCCCAGGAGCCTAATCTGAAGGGGAGACACAGATCTGCCCTAGAAACAAGTCTGAGGAGAGAGGTATGGTTCCACCTAGGAGCCTGTCTTACTCAGAGTTTCTGTTGCTGCATCCAAATCGCCATGATCGAAAAGCAAGTCGGAGAGGAAAGGGTTTATCTGGCTTATACTTTCATATTGCTATTCATCATCAAAGGCCTTTCGGACAGCAATTCAAGCAGGGCAAGAACCTGGAGGCAGGAGCTGGTGCAGAGGCCGTGGAGGGATGCTGCTTACTGGCTCGCTTCCCCTGGCTTTCTCAGCCTGCTTTCTTACAGAACCCAGGACTGACGGTCTAGGGATGATACCACCCACCAAGAGCTGGTTTGGCTGGGCCCTCCCCCGTTGATCACTAATTGCGAAAATGCCTTCAGCTGGATCTCATAGAGGCATTTCCTCAACTGAGGCTCCTTCCTCTCTGATGGCTCTAGCTTGTGTCAAGCTGACATTAAACTAGCCAGTCCAGAGCCCAATCTGAGGAGCGAGGCACTGTTCTACCCAAGAACCCGGTTTAAAGGGGGAGACACGTGCGCCTATCATCCAGCTCTTACAGTCTTTCCACCCTCTCTCTCACGATGGATTCTGAGCCTTGGTGGTGGGGTCGGGGTCCCACGTAGAGCTGAACACAGTCTCTCCCAGCACTTTGGCCAGGTAAGTCTGTACGTTAACGGCCGCCTGATGGAGAAAGAATGCTTCTCTGGCCGCGGTTGAGAGCGGCCCTAATCCATCAGTCTGAATATAAATATCTAGAAGGCAAAATGACAACAGGTTTTTCCCTAGGGCCTGTGACCTCCCAAGCCATGGTACATGTAAACATGAATTTCCCCCATGTGAAGCAGGTCCTAGATTCAAACAGAAAGTGGTTGGTTGTCCTGATAACTGTCACGCCACTATGGCACCAGAGGTCACATCTTAACCCAGCAGGTCAGTAATGTAACACTCAGGGTCGATGACTCCCTGAGTCATGGGCTTTTGATGAAGACGAGACACAAGGCGGCACAGCCCTTCTTGCCAGACTGGTGGGTGACAGACAGCATGGAGGATGTGGCAGAAGCCACACCCTCACGGCTCCCTCTTGATCCCCAGAGTGAAGGACCCCATGGCTGCCAGTGACGACTGTGGCCACATCCGCTTCTTCTCCTTCTCCCTCATTGAGGGCTACATCTCACTGGTGATGGATGTACAAACCCAGCAGAGGTGGGCAGGGCCCTGTGTGGTTGTTAAGGGGTCCGGGCGGGAGCATGTACTTTCTTCCTAGTCAGTCTGCCCTACTCCCTTCGTTGGAGATGTCCCTGTAGGTACAGGGGGTCAGTCAAGGTCCACAGCATGATGGTACCAAAGTGAAGATTCGAACCTCAGTCCCAGCTACCTCCAGAGTCCCACCCCAGCATTGCTTTCCCTCACTGACCCCAATGGGACTGACATATCCTTGGAGCCTCTGCTCTTTCCCACCCAAGGATCAGCCACTCTGTCACTCGGCCCTACAGGCCCCCCCAAGCAGAGAAGGTTCCCCAGAGCTGGGGGAGCACCAGTTAGCATCAGCCTCAGAGACCTCTTTCTTCCTTTAAAGGTTCCCAAGCCATTTGCTGTTCACGAGTGCATCTGGAGAGCTCTGGAAGATGGTGCGGATAGGAGGACAGCCCCTTGGATTTGGTGAGCCCATGGGGTTTGACACCTGTAGGCAGGGATCCACGCAGGCATTCTTGGGGTACCTGGACAGCTCCACACTTATGTGGTGATCTAAAGAGGGGGACCTATGCTAAAAGAGCCTGAAGTCCCCATTCTGACAGATCCCTTGCCTGTGGTGTGACGAGTATATGAAGGCCTCGGGAGACCAATAAGGGGGGCTCTTATACCACCCCCCCCAGATGAAAAATTAAGGCATTGGAGCAGGAAGTGAGACTTGGCAGTAGAATGTTTGCCTAGAATCCCCCAGTGAGGGGCTAGGGTGTGGCTCAGTGGTAGAGCCCCTGCCCAGAATCCCCCAGTGAGGGGCTGGGTGTGGCTCAGTGGTAGAGCCCCTGCCTAGAATCCCCCAATGAGGGGCTAGGGTGTGGCTCAGTGGTAGAGCCCCTGCCTAGAATTCCTCAGTGAGGGGCTGGGGTGTGGCTCAGTGGTAGAGCCCCTTCCTAGGCTCTAAGCATCTGTGTTTCCCTAGACGAATGTGGAATTGTAGCCCAGATCTCTGAGCCCTTGGCAGCTGCAGACATCCCGGCATACTACATCAGTACTTTCAAGTTCGACCACGCACTGGTGAGTAGCCTCTGGGAACAGGCGGGGAATTCAAGTTAGGGAGCAGGTTCCTGGGCTAATGCCCTTTTTTTTTTTTTTTTTTTTTTTTCCTGCTTCCTGCCCTCTAGGTTCCAGAAGAGAATATCAGTGGGGTTATTCATGCCCTGAAGGTCAGTCAAGGAGGGAAGCATTAGGAAAGGTTCATCTCTGGGCTGCTCCTAGCTGCAGTCCACTTGGCCCTTTCCCCCACGAAGGTTATTCTTGCAGTATTTCCCTACGGACTGAAAGATCGGCCCTGGGACCCTACGGAAAGGGCATCTGGGACACACCCCCGGTTCCTGACTCCTCCAGGCCTGGACCCAAACCAAGGCCACCCCCACATCCACCTCCAGCCTTCCAGAATCCCCCGCCTTTTCAATAATGACTCGGTTTCCCACCAGTGGGGGCATGCCCATCTTCCTGCCCCAAGTTCCACCCCAGAATGTGGTCTCTGAGGCCCAGGGGCCTTGGAGAGAGCCCAAGGCCTCACATACACCCCCCAGCAAACACCAAAGGACGCTGGCACCGCCCACAAGACGTTGGGATTGGGGTCCTGATGCAGCAAGGGACATCTTAGGAAGTCGGTGCCGCAAGAGTGGGTGTACAGAGCTGAGGAAGCCCCCGTGAGGAACCCCTCAGGATGAATGGTACGGTTGCTGCTCTAATCTCAGAGGCTCAGGGGCTGGTTCCCTCAGGACGGAGGCCAGCAGGCCACCCTCAGGTCATAATGGTCAGTGACCCTAGACCCCACCTGCTGACCACACGGGGCCTGTGTCGATTCCTACTACGACTGCCAAGAGGGGTCCTGGGTCAACCAAGACCTCCCCTGGAGGAGGACAGAATCCCAGGACCCCTCCTTTCCCACCAGCCTAGAGCACCAGCTTCTACCTGTCCTCTGTTCGCTCTCCCTGGACCCAACCTGGGCAAGCAAAGACTCCGTTCGCTCCCAGCAGTGGACCATCCCCACCAGCCCAGGCCTAGAGTGCCTTGGGCCATGTCCACCTTCCCAGCTGTCACTTAGACCAGCCTAGAGTTTCCCTCTTCATCCTCTCTACCCCACCCGGAGGGGACAAAGAGGCCTTGGCCCCCAGCTCACATACCTGCCCGAAGTAACCCAGCAGTCTGTGACTGTGGCGAAAGCTGGGAGGTAGCTACCATGCGCATTTAGGGAAAAAAGTCACACTTGGGGTTTTTTATTCGGTTGTTTGCATACAGGTGGCTGGGGAAGGAGTGGTTTTGTTTGAAGGACATGGGGCCTGCTTGAGTCTTACAAGAGTGCCCAGCGTTCAGCGGCACCTAGCAGCACCCTGTTTCTCCCAGGGCAGATGCAAATGCAAGGATGGATCCTAAGAATCTTGGCCTGTCTTCTGAGGAGAGTTATCAGGAGCAGAATTCTGGCATAAGACACCAGGACCCCTATAGTATCCTCTGCAGGGCAAAAGTGCCTGCGAGTGGTACCATAAGCTGGGACTATGGGGTCCAACAAGGTCAGAGGAGGGAATGTGTGTTTACCCCTGCACAGGTCTCGGTGTGGACTGCGTTCCTCCCTTCTCTGGGCTATAGGAGCAGACCCAGGCGGAGGATGTACTCTAGAACCCTGTAGAAGCTCAGAACCCAGCATGCTAATCAAAATTACCTCTGGTGGGGTTTGTTTGACTTGTTTTGTTTTTTGATTCCTTTTTCACAAAACAACCAAATCTCGTCATATTGTTTTCTGTTCCCAAAAGGGAAATGGCCAAGTAGACAGGGCCATAGTGAGGCCCCTGAGTCCCCTTCTCTCTCCCTCCAAGGCCTTGATTGTCCAGGGCGCACCTCTCTGTAATCCCTTTGGTCCCACCTTCCAGGTATCCCTTCCCACTGTGTAAGTGTGCTGACCCCATGTCCCCCGCCCCAGAGTTGTGTGGCCCCTAAACTTGCTAGGATGAAACTGTGTATTGTACACACCTATAAATACGTGTTTTATGTTCATAGAGATATATTCTGTAAATAGCATATATTACTTGAGCAATATATATGTTAATATATTCTGTGTGCACAGGACACAGGCAAGGACCCCACCTCATGTGTGCACACATGGGGACATTTTGAGCCACCATATATTTTTAATTTGAATATGTAGGCAATACAGTGATTGGAAAAGCCCTGGGGTCCAGGAAGCCAGCCTGGAGGGGAGACAGAAACCACCAGCCTACTGCATCTGGGACAGGTTTAGAGGGCCAGCACGGTCCACTTTGTAGCTACTGCACCCCATTCCCACAGCCTAGAGCTCTGGATGCTCTTTCTTTATTTGGGAGAACATTGATTGGTCCAGAAGGGGAATTGGATTTTTTTTTTTTATTCTTTGCATTTTTGACAGTGGCTCCCTCCCTCAGGGTTACTCCAAAATCTTTTTGTCTGGTGAACCCCTTGTAGTCTAACCTCCCTCCCAGAGTCCCCTCTCTCTAGGAAGCTGTAGGCCTGGCATCTTAGCTGATTTCTTGTTGTTATTTGTTTTCTTGAGGCAGGGTCTCTTTTTATATAGCCCTAGCTGTCCTGGAACTCCCTGTGTAGATCAGGGTGGCCTTGAATTTATAGAAAGCTGCCTGCCTCTGCCTCCTGAGTGCTGGCATTAAAGGCGTGCGCCACCACACCTAGGTGATTTTTTTTTTCTTAACTCCTGCTAGTTTAGGAATCTCAGGTTCTCTTCCCTGCTCTCTTCCTAGGGCTGACTCCACAGGCCTCAAAACACCACACATCTTGCCATCTGGTGAGGCGCTGGGGCCTGGGTTCTGCCTGCCAGCCTTCTAGAGACCCCCACTATTTAGCTACAGTAGGTCCTTTCAAGGAAGCTGGGTCTCTGTGTTCTGTGGGTGGCACTGGCGTGACAGTGTCTACAGCTCTGGGGGATGTGACATTGAGCCCTCTCCTCTTGTGTCTTTAGTGCTGTTTGCCACTTCTTGGCATCTCCTGGTTTTATGGATGTGGAGGTCACTCCACCCCCTGCTGGCCCAGCCTCAGAGGTGACCCAAGTGACAATGCCAGTTGCAGCCAAGGTTCCCTATGGGGATTTTGTTTATTTTTTCTGCAGCGCTGAGGATTGTGGACAGGGCCTAGTACATTGGAGACAAATACTCTGCTGAGCCGCTCCCAGCTTCTAGCAGCAGGAGTCTCTTGGCCTGCGTGGGGGAAAGGAGAATGGGCTGTTAAAAGTATTGGGAAACACAGACAGATCCCCTGGGCAGGGCTACCGGATCGTAGGCTCCAGGAGTTTGTGTCTGCCTGGAAGACTAGAAAAGCTCGGAAGACACAGTGGGACAGTGCGCTTGCCCAGTGTGCATGAAGCACTCAGGAGATGGAAGCAGGCAGATCACAAGTCAAGGCCAGCCTGGGCTAAGTGAGACCTTGTCTCAGAGAAAAATGCCAAATATCACCTGTATGTTTGACTACCCGTCCACGACAGGCTAATGAAACCATCCCGTGTCCCCATTGACAAAGCCCCCTCCCTAACTTCGGCTCGGCCCCACAGCCCGCTTTCCAAGAAATCTGCTTCTCCCCCAGACCCCAGCAGCATTGCCAACTGTATACTCCCTTCCTCCACAGGGTGTCTGAAGACACACATGCACACACGCATGCACGCAGTCCTGGCCCTGTGCTTCTTCAACCCTCCCTGGAGGATCAGCAATGACCTTGCCCCCACCAGCTGCAGACAACTGGTTCCTAGTGCGATGGGCGGGTTCTAGGGACCTGGTTCAGTCTTCTGCCCGTCAGGCAGTGTCGTGAGGTGGTTCCCCTGTGGCATGATGGAAGGAACTGGAAGTCAGAAGCTATCATAGCAGGTGGGAAGGAGCTAGCACCTGTGCACAGCCAGCCAGACCCCTCGGTCTGGTATACAATTGTCAAAGATCTGAGCCACCTGCTGCCAGCCCCTCCCCGCCCCATTTCCCAGGCTGACCTTTAAAAGTCCCCAGCTACCCTTGGACCATGCGCCAGAGCCCGATTGGACTATTGGACGTGAGGACAACACAGGCTCTTCTTGGCTAAGGCAATGACAGAGGGAGTGGAAAGGAGGAAGTGTCTGTTTTGACTCTGAGTTTAATGGGATTACTGCAGTCCACCATGGTGGCAAGGCATGGCAGCAGGAGCGTGAGGCAGCTGGTCACGTGGCATCACAGTCAGGAAGCAGAGAGAGATGGACGCTGATGCTCAGCTCGCTTTCTCCTTTCTATTCAGGGTAGGTTTTCCCACCTCAGTTAATCCAGACTCCCTGACAGACTTGAGCAGAGGTTTGTCTTGTAGGTGGTTCTAGAGCCTGTGGGCATGACTATTGAGCACCACAGGACACCCTTCTGAGTTCCTTCTGTGAGCAGTAGGGGAACCACAGGTGGGGTCAGCACTTGGCTTGGTGAGGGGAGCCTGGATGAGGAATAGAGAGGGCTCTCCAACAGGGATGGGATATAGCTTTGAGGGGTTTGGGGTGTTTTTTTTTTTTTTGTTTTTTGTTTTGTTTTGTTTTGGTGTTTTGTTTTTTTAGAGACAGGGTTTCCCTGTGTAACAACCCTGGCTGTCCTGGAACTCTCTGTAGACCAGGCTGACCTCAAACTCCGAGATTCATCTGCCTCCATCTCCTGAGTGCTCAGTTTAAAAGTCTGCGACACCACCCCCTGGCTTAGCTAGCTTTGAGTTTGCAAGTGATGGTTATTGTGCTGAGGGTCAGAGTGTAGCTTGGAAGGGTGGCATCCATTTTGACATCCAGGAGGGAAGCGAGGCCAAGATGGCTGACAGCCGATCAGCCTTGCTTTGCTGCATGGGGCTGTTGTGGAGTAGAGCTAACTTAACAGACCTAACCTTTTCATACATCTCTGCTTTCTTGTCCATTCCCCCAATTTGAAGCAACAAAAGGACACATTTAGCTGATCCCAGGGTGACCTCCAGCCCCCCCCCAAGCTACTCATCTGGGGGAAGGGGAGCTGAGGGCACCAGTAGAGGCCAAGACCACGGTGCTTGTGAGCATCGATTTGGTGGTGATGGTTTGTGGCATCTGGTAGAAGAGCAGGGAATCTGGGAGAGTCAAAAGTGCAGGGTGGCTCCTTCCTGTGTGTCAGGAGGCGTTCTGTGTGGTTATATTTACGTGTGTGTGTGTGTGTATGTGTGTGTACCTGTATTAGGCATGAGTGTGTGCACACATGTGCAGAGCCTATCTCAAAGCTGCGAGCTGTTTCATGCAGTGTTTGGCCCTTCAGCCCAGCCCACTGCCACACAGAGTTAACCAGATTGTGGGGGGGGGGGGGCGGAGATGCGGACCCTGGCTCTGGGGGGTTGCCCTGATAGGATAGGCTCCTTCCCTTATTGTCTACATCCCCAGGAAAGACTGCCCTCAGAACCCAGGGGGTTCATGCAGGCAGCCTGAGCTGGCCCAGGCCCACCCATGTCACTCTTCAGAGGTTTCAATTCTGAAGACAGTATTCACAGGGAGAGAGGCTGGAGACAAGAGGGACCCCTCGCTTACCAGGAACTCATCTTGGAAAGGGGTCCACAAAGCTAGAGGCCCCAGCAATGGGCACAATTCAGGTCTCCACGGGGCAGAGCCTAGCATGGCTTCCCTTTCTACTGCCTCAGTTTACCTGTATCACCACAGGAAGAGTGAGAGCAGGGTCAGCCCCCAGACAATAGGGAGAGGAATGCGCGACCAGAGCTCTCCCAGCCCTCCTCTTGTATGCCAAAATCATTTCCGTTATCCTGAGGCAGGGGAGCAGGTGTGGGTGCCCTGCCTGCAGCCCCAGCTGACCCTCACCTGGCATGTTGTGCCCAGGTCACCAGCAACACTGGGCTTTCCTAGTCCAGCAGCTTGAGTGAGGGGAGGACTGGAGTCCGACTCTCTTCACCTCCAGGGCCTTCATGCTTTCGTCTTGTCAAAGAAACAAAACCCTTGAGAGTTGTGTACTGTATGATGGAGAGAAAAAAAAGTACCTAATGTTCACCCTAAAAAAAAAGACAGTATATTTTGTACTTTGTAAAGTGTTCATTAAATGAAGGGGAAAAAAGACGATGTTGGCTGATGGCTGTATGATTTTATGTTGATTTATGCAGGATCGTGTCTCATTTCTTCCCTCTTTCCCATTCTGTTTGGAGAACATGGCTAGAGGAGCCAGGATAACCCTCAGGTGTAACCCTGAGTCTCAAAAGCTGCCGGGAGCTTTGTATCAGCTACCTGATGCTGTGTAATAAGTTGTCCTAAAACAGTGGCTTAAAATGATACATCTCTGTATCCTAGCACTCAGGGAGGCTCAGGCAGGAGGATGGAGGGTTCCAGGCTAGCCTGAGCTACATAGTAAAACCCTATCTCAGTAAAAGGGGCTGGAGAGGTCACCCAGTGGTTAAGAGCACTGGTTGGTCAATGCCCAGCACCCACACGGTGGCTCACAACCATCTGTGACTCTGGTCCCACGGAATCTGACAAGTTCTTCTGGCCTCTGCATGGGTACCAGGTACCCATGTAGTACACAGACATACATGTGATAAAACATCCATATGCATAAAATAAATAAAAGCTAAAGGGAAGAATGGTATTTTCAGCAGGTTCGGTCTGTGGTCATGGACCTGAGTGAGGCAGAACACCATGACGACGAGAACTTGCAGAGAAGGAATTGTTCATGGCATCCAAGAAGCAGAGATGGGAACACAGGAAAAGGCCAGGGCAAGCTGTCGCATCTTCAGTGACCTTCAGTGAAGTACCACCTCTTATCTATCACTACCTCCCAGTATTGCCAGCAAATGATGAATCTCTCGAGCTATCATCAATCCATTAATTATCCATTAATTAGGTCAGAGCCTTCGTAATCTGTTTCTGGGCATGTTGTCATAGAAACAGACAGGAATGTGCTTGTAAACCCTAAACATCTCTCAGTCCAGCAAGTACCCAGTACCCACACAATGGGCCACAACCACCTATAACTCCAGTTCCAGATCTGATGCCCTCTTCTGGCCTCTCTGAGTTCTGCACAAATGTTCATACACATAAAAATCATTAAAAATAATTTTTTTGAAAAAAAAAATGTAAGGGGTTTGGGAAGATGGCTTAGTGGTTAAAGAGCCCTTGCTATTCTTGCAGATGAGACCGGTTTAATTGCTAGCACTTAATAGCTCAGATTTCCTCTAGCTCTGGTTCCCGGCAATTTTATACCACCTTCTGACATCCGTGGCCATTACACACAGATGGCGTGCAGACATGCAATGAAAACACATACACACATAAGCATATTTTTTTTGTTGTTTTTTTTTTCGAGACAGGGTTTCTCTGTAGCTTTGGAGCCTGTCCCGGAGATCCACCTGCCTCTGCTGGGATTAAAGGCGTGAGAACAAGAGGACGCCTGGGAAGAGGCAGGTGACTCTTGACTTCGCCCAGGGTCTGTATCATTCACATGCTCACTAAAGTGAGACAACATGCACACTTTACAGGAACAGCATAAGCAGCCCCCAGAATGGCTTAGCAGGGTTTCCAGGTGTCAGAGGGGAGGGTCAGACCAAAGAGACCAACACCAGCACCCAGGTACAGATGGCAGCTGAGCAGAGGCCCTGGTGGCACACAAAGAGGACAGACGCTGCATGGCCAGGCTGGCCAACAGGTGAAACAGGCTTTAAGGCACACTTGAGGATGAGGGCGCCCCTTTTTGCACACAGGTGACTACGGTCAGGGTGCTTGTTTTGCATTGTAGTTTGTTGGGACAGGGTCTCGTGGTGGCCTCATGTATCCCAGACTGACTGGCCTAACTCAATGTGTAGCCCAGGATGATCCTCCTGCCTCCAGGTCCTGCCACAGTCTGAGCTACTGGAATGTGCCGCCACATCCTGTTTATGAGGCGCTAGGAATCAGACTCAGGGCTTCGTGGATGCTATAATCAAAGACCTTACCAGAGAGACATGTTCCTGGCCCCTTTAATTTTCTAAGGACTTTTTACATTAAAAACCTTTTTAGTCATGTGTATGTGGTGACAGGAGCACGTATGTACACATGCATACAGACACTCTGAGAAGCAGAAAAGGGTGTCAGATTCCCTGGAGCTAGAGTTACAGCCATTTATGAACTGCCTGGTGTGGGACTTGAACTCAAGTCCTCTGTAAGAGCAGTAACTGATCTTAACAACTGAACCATCTTGCCCACTCAACTTCTATTTCAAGTTCACAGCAGCCCTTCCTATTGTAAGCCTACGACTAGCCCTTGAAGAGAACCAGGGGCAGATCCACCTGGGTGAAGGGGCCCTGTAACTGCCAAAACAGCCATCCCCTCCAACACCAGCCAACTGGTCCTCATGACATCCTGCTTGTTGACCCCTCAACCTTCTGACACATCCCACTTCCTTGTTAGGTTTTCTCCATGTTAGGGTTTTCATTTGAAATGTCCCCCACGGGCTCACGTGTGGAATGTGTGTGCTCCACCACAGGTGGTATTTTCTGGAGGACTGGCACGTTAGAGGAGTGGGGCCTGGACACAGAAGTAGGCCGCTGGGGGGTGGTCCTTAAAGGTGGTAGTCCAGCCAACGTCTGATTGCATGCTGCTTCCTGATCTGCTAAGTGAGAGGCCTCTACCCCATGCGCCAGCCCCCAGAAACTCTGCTGTGCCTTTCCTGCCATGCTGGGTTAGAACCCTCTGAAACTGAGAGCCAAATTAAATCCTTTAAATTGTTGCTGTCAAGTATTTGGAGCAAAACTTTGCTTTCCTCCACAGCCCACACAAGCAGCTACCAAACTCTGTATTTTGTATAATAATGTCCATTTCCTTCCCCAGGCTGCACAAAGCAGGGATTCTTCCACCACATGACTCAGTGGCCCACGCCTGCACTTAAGGGGCCCACACGTACCTGTAGAGTGAACAAGTAGCGGGTGGGGTGTAGCAGGCAGCGTGAAAGATGGTAATTAGTGACTCAGGCACCAGCTCTCCCCAGCTGAAGAATCTATCTGTTCAGGGCTAGGGAGATGACTCAGTGGGTTAAGTGCCTGCCTGACAAGCTGACGGCCCGGGGTCAGTCAACAGAACCCATGGGAAAAGAGGCAAGCATGGCATCATATGCCTGTCGTCCCAGCTCTGGGGAAACTGAAACAGAAGGATCCCTGGCGGGCTCTCCAGCCGGCCAGCCTTCTTGGGAACTTTCAGGTAGGGAGAGATCCTGTGTCCAAACATAAGGTGGAGCTGGGTATGGTGGTGTAAGCCTTTAATCCCAGCACTCTGGGAGGCAAGGGCAAGCAGAACTCCGCAAGTTCAAGGCCAACCTGGTCTAGGAAGTGATACCCCATCTCAATAATAAGATGGCTAGCACCTGAGGAATGACACTTGACACTGTCCTGTCCTCCACATGAATGCACAGCCGTGTGCACATGCACACATGCAACTGCACACACACAAAACACATCCCAGGTGGGACTGCCTTCCAAAGTGTTCTCCATGGGCTTCTGTTTGTTTCCTAGGGTCTCGAAGTGATCTAGTGAAACATTTCCAAGACTCCATCTTTAAAAAGGCAGAAAATACTTTATTCTAAAAAAAACTTTTCAAACACTGTTCTGAAAAGGCAAGTTTTCTTAAAAACAAGTATTTTCCCAGTTTCTGATGCTTCCTACTCCAAGACTGGCCCTCCAGCCAAGATTCCACAGCCCTCAGCCCACAAGCATTTGGCCTGCAGCCTCTTTCTTCAGGGGCTTCTGGACAGTTCAGAGCCAGGCAGAGAGATGGCTCCAAGGCTGGGATACTGTAGACCCATGGGGGAGGCTGGCTCACACTGGCTGCTCCATAAAGGGTCTCAAGCCATGACATTCTGGGCTCCCGGACTGTGTCCTGGGGAGCTTGTGGGGTGGCAGCTGATCAAAGAGGCCCTAGCTGAAGTTAGCTGGCTCTCCTGCTGAGCTGGGCCAGCCAGAGGCCCAAGTGTGTCCTGTTGTGACAGGGGACTACAGATTCTCCTGAATGCCTTGTCATGTCTCCAATGTGCCACGAATAACAAACGTCCCCTAAGAAAAGCCTGCCATCCTAGGGCCTTATGCCCTGGTACTCCTCAGGAGCACACCAGGCCAGGAGCCTCAGCAGCAGGGAAAGGTCTTGTCCACAGACTCCTATTACGTCCCCACTGGACACAAAGTAAGCCCCCTGCTCCACACAGGCCCTGGCCCTCTCCCAGCATCCTCAGAAGCTCTGCTGGTGGCCACACCTTGCCTCTGCCAAGCTGTTGCTGTCGGTATAGTTCAGACTCTGGGGCCAGCCTGGGATGGGCCCGGAAGGAGATTCAGATGAATGACCTGGCCAGAGTTACCATGTGATCCACACCACATGCCACGTCCACAGGCTCACCGGGCATCGTCACCTGGAAAACAAGCCCCAGAACACAGTGAGGGGAAGGGTGAGCAGGCTCTGGAGTGCTTCTGGGAGAGACAGGGACTTGATGGCTCTATTTCCCTGTGCAGCTGAGGCTGACCATGAACCTCTGACCTCCTGCCTCTACCTCTCATGCTGGGTTTACAGACATGAGTCCCACACGTGCTTTATGGTACTGGAGACAGCCCCTAGCCAGGGCTCTGCGTGTGCTAGGCAAGCACTCCAGCTACTGGGCCTCCCCCTCAGCCCCACACTAATCCACAGCCACCCTACCTCCCTGCCCATCAATGGCATCACCTCCGGTAGCTACCCTAGAGACGTGACCCTGGAGGATACATATGCTCCTGGTACCATTGTCTGTGACAATGGCTTCCAGATTCCTTGCCTGAAGGCTGATTGCTGTGGGATAATGCTTTTTGTACACTGTAAAGATGTGTCACTTGTATTGGTTTAATACAATGCTGACTGGTGAGTAGCCAGGAAGGAAGTATAGGCGGGGCAACCAGACTAAGAGAATTCTGGGAAGAGGAAAAGCCAGACACAGTTGCCACCCAGACACAGAGAAAGCAAGATGAGAATGCTGTACTGAGAAAAAGCACCAAGCCATGTGGCTAAAAGTAGACAAGAATTATGGGCTAATTTAAGTTTTAAGAACTAGTTAATAGGGGGCTGGAGAGACGGCTCAGAGGTTAAGAGCATTTACTGCTTGGTCTTCCAGAGGTCCTGAGTTCAATTCCCAGCAACTACATGGTGGCTCACAACTGTCTATAATGAGATCTGAGGCTCTCTTCTGGCCTGCAAGCAAATATGCAGACAGAATACTGTATACATAATAAATAAAATAAATCTTTTAAAAAAAAGCTAATTAATAACCCTGAGCTAACAGGCCAAACAGTTTATAATTAATATAAGCCTCTATGTCTTTCTTTGGAACTGACACCTGCGGGACTGGGTGGGACAGAAACTTCCGTCTACAGCTGAGTGTTCAGTGACCTTTCTGTGGGTCACTAAGTACTTCCCAAGAGTGCAGGAAAGGCTTCTGCCTGGAGGGTCTAGTGTGGGAACAGGGACACACTGGCACAGTGGCTTCTGTCACTTTACCTGTTGACCCCACCTGCAGCCATAAGCTGGATCCCATGTGTCCCCCACCATGGCCACGTGAGAGGCAGAGTTTCTGCTACATCTCAAAAGGCATTAGGTGAGGGCAGTGGTAGCCCAAGCAGAGACGGGGATCGGGGATCTCTGTGAGTTCAAGGCCAGCCTGGTCTACAGAGCGAGTTCTAGGACAGGCTCCAAAGCTACAGAGAAACCCTGTCTCAAAAAAACAAAGCAAAACAAAAGACATTAGGGTCTTACCACAGATCTAGCCAGGCTGCCTGTCTGGGCCAGTCTTAGCTCCAGGAAGACCTAGCCCTCAGCACAGCAGGAGGCTAGCGTCCTTCCCAACCTTGTCACAGAGTCTGTCCGTCTTGCTGTTTTAGAGCCTTCCCTGCCTTTCCTTCCCTAGACTGACCAAGTACAAGCAAGTTTCAGAGCTACATTGGGCCACCCAGAGGGCTGGTCCCTCCAATCCTCATTATTTTGTTCTCGCTCAAGCGCACACATGCCACAGTGCACTTGAAGTCAGAGGACAACCTTCAGGAATTGGTTCCCTCCCTCCACCTTGTGGAAACTGGATTTATTAAACTTAGGTAGTCAGGCTTGGTGTCAAGTGCCTATACCCAGTGGGCCTTCATAGGCTCTAAATTTATTTTTTATTTTTTTCTTTCTCTTTTTGTTGTGCTTATGCTATACATGTGTAAATGTACTACGGATGGTGTACACAGTGCAGTGTGTGGAATGTGGTGTGTGGTATGGGTGTGCACAGTGCAGTGTGTAAGTGTTGGAAACAGGGGCTGACCTCAGATGTCCTCCTCTAGCACTCCCCACGTTTTTGTTTTTTCTGTTTGTTTGTTTGTTTTGTTTGAGACAAGGTCTCTGAGTGGACCTAAAAATCATGGTTTCAGCTAGACTGGCCGACCAGCAAGCATCCGAGGTCTGACTCTCCCCCTGCTGTGGGGCACTGAGTTACAGACTACACAGTGGAGCAGAGCTTTTCGTAGGCGCTGGGGATCCAAACTGGGATCTTCATACTGACACAGCAAGCACTTTACCCACTGAGCCAGCTCCCCAGCTCCCTTTTGTTTGTTTCAGAGACAGGATGTCACTATGGAACCTTGGCTGGCCTGGAACTCACTATGCAAGCCAGGCTGGCCTCGAACATATAAAATCAGCCTGCCTCTGCTTACTGAGCGCTGGGATTAAAGGTGTATGCCAGCACACACTGAACTGTTTCAGTTTTCAGACAGGGTCTCACTATATAGCCTGTGCTGGCCTAGAACTTGGAGCATTCTCCTGCCTCTGTTTCCGGAAAGCAAAAGTGTATACCACCATGCCCATTTTCTCTTTTTTTAACCATTGTTTCTATTATCGTAGCAACGTATGTATCACTATGATACATACATAGTAATAAGCAATGATATACTGTAAAAGGACATTGAATGGAAAGCAATGACCATGAGATCCAGGGAGGCATGGTGGTTCACACCTCTCATCCTAGCATTTGGCAGGTAGAAGCAAAAGGACCAGAAGTTCCTCACTATACAATGAGTTTGAGGCTAGCCTGGGCTACATGAGTCCCTGTCAAAATAAAAAAATACGCAGGTATCAAGTACCTCCTAATAACCCAGCCACCCTATGCCCTGCATCCTACTGAGAACTACTTAAATCAAATCTTGTGTTCCTCACAGGCTCTCAGTGCAGAAGGGCACATGCCAGCCTTGTGGCTCCCTGGGCACACCCTGCATAACTGTGCCTTCAGACCCTCGCCCAGATGTGGAGGCGGGATCAATTGGCCAGATCCCTATTCAGTAGCCCTTCCTGCTGGCAGCCGCAGAGAAGCTATGACCTCCTGGGCAGTTTCCTGAGTTTAGGACAGAAATGAATGCCTACAACAGGTGGCCTGGCCTAAAAGCACCGAAGTGGCAGGTACTGACCATGGAGCTTCCTCTCCATTAGGGGCTGCCGGTGATGGCAAATGAAGGCAGGAACCACGCCACGCTGTCTTACAGCCTCCCCAAACAAAACACCTTGGAAAAAGCTGCCACACAGACCACTGAACAAACAGAAATGGGCCCCAGGTGACAGAGGCAGCCTGGAGCTGCTGAAGCTGCCCCAGAACAGCAGTGGCCGGCTGCCTCCTGATGACCTAGCCAGGTGGGCTCTTAGCAACCTCTCAGGCCCCTTGAGATCATCTATTTACCTTCCCTGGGAAAGTGCCTTGCCATGATCATCCGCAGCCATCCCACTGCACTTAAGCACATGCCGCCGTTCCCTAGATGCTCAGGCCATTAGAGCCCAAAGCACAGCAAGCTGTTTGCTCTCTGCTTGCTGGCCAGGACCCATGACCATCAAGGACCTTGGGAGTAGCAGTGGCTCTGAGACTCCAGTGCCCCCTGGCATGTGTCTCTCAGGTCTCTAAAACGACTCCACAATAAGTCTGTCCCCAGTCATGTGGGGAGTTTTGGTCTCTGGGTCTCACGGAGCCCAAGCTGGCCTCACACTCCCTGTGTATCTGAGGATAACTTTGAACTTAGGATCCTCATACTTTCACCTCTTGCTCCCAGGTCCTAGGATTACAGGTGTGCTCCACCATACTTGGTTTATGTGCTGCTACAGCTCATTGAATCTAGGGCTGCTTTCATGCTAAGCAAGTCTTGTTTATTCTTCAGAGAGAGGAAGGGAGAGAGAGAGAGAGAGAGAGAGAGAGAGAGAGAGAGAGAGAGAGAGAGAGAGAGAGAGAGAGAGAGAGAATACCTCACTAGATAGTCCAGGCTGACTTGATTCTCCTGCCTCGGCCTTCCAAGTGGCTTCACCTATGACTTGTATGTGTGACTTCATAGGCTCCCCCTCTGGTCTCGCAGCTCACTGTGCAAGACAGGCTGTGCTATGGGAGCCGCTTGCCACCCTGTGCTATGGCTGGATCTCAGGTATGCCTTGAAGGCCCGTGTGCTGAAAGCTGGATCTCCAGCTCGGTGCTACTGGGAAATGGCAGAAATCTATAGGGGTGGAGCCTACTGAGATTAGGGATTGGAGATGTAACTGTCCATTGCTGAGGTGAAACACCAAGGCCACAAGCAACTTGGGAAGGACAGGGTTCATCTGGCCATGCCTCCATAGTCCATCATCAAGGGAAATTAGGGCAGGAACCTGGAGGCAGGAAGTGAGGCAGAAGCTGTGGAGGATGCTGCTTACATGGCTTGCTCAGCCTGCTTTCTTATGCCTCCGGGACCACAAGCCCACGTGGCATCACCTACCGTGGGCTAGGCCCTTCCGCATCAATCACTAATTTAAAAAATGCCCTACAGGCTTGCCTATACCATGTTATGGAAGTATTTTCTCAGCTGAGTTTCCTTCCTCTCAGATGACTGGCTGTCGTCAGCATGGGAGCATGCCTTTGAAGGTAATAATAGAACCCCAACTCCTTTCAGTACTCTGACTCCAGCCTCCATAAGGTAAGCAGCTTTAAGGTCACATGTCCCCTGCTATGTTGCACTGCCCTGCCAATGGGTCAAAGCAACTGACCCCAGCAAAAGCTTCTAAAACCAGGAACCAAATTAAACATTGTCTCTTAAGTGGATGACCCCAAGCATTTTTTACAAGAATGAAAAACTAATGAATCTGTCAAGTCCTCCCCTTCATCTAATCAAAACATGACAAAAGACAATGGAGTTGCCTGGCATGACCCCTTGGGGCTCACCAAATGTGCAAGAAGGTGGACAACAGGGTGCTGCCAACAGAGTGGTCACTAGGGCAGACAGGCTCATCCCTTCAACAGGAAAGCATATCAGGAAGCCCACAGCGAGCAGGACGCCATTCCTCTGGCTGACTAAGTGCAAGAGGGTGGTGCATGCTGAGAATGGAGGTATCAGGTTCCAGCAGCCTAGACATGGACTCTTCCCCAACAGCTATGCTTTGCCAAGTTGCCTCAGCAGGTAACCAGCTGTGATGATCATGAACATGACAAGATCTAGAGTCCTCTAGGAGACAAACTCCTTGGCTTGGCTTGGCTTGGTGAAGTTCTAGATTGGTTAGCTAAGGTGGGAAGACCCATGCTGAATGAGGATGACCCTACTCTACCTGCCGAGGTCCTGGGCTGAAGAAAGAAGAGAAGGGGAGCTGAGCACCAGCGTCATCTCTCTGTGCTTCCTGACTGTGGATGCCATGTGACCAGCCGCCTCACCCTCCTGCTGCCATGTCCGCCGCCATGATGGACCAGACCCTCAAACTGAGACCCAAAAGAAACCCCTCCTCCCTTAAGCTGCTTTTGTCAAAGCAACAAGAGAAGAAACTAACCCATCCACACTCATAGGTGACAGGCCTGGGAAGCGCTTGCTGTTCCAACACCCAACTGTTTCCACTGTTTTCCAAGGCCACAATCGAAAAGAAAAGAGGATGAGTGGGGGAGGGGTGGCTGTGAAGGGTGTGCTGGCTCTCCAGACAAGACCAGCAACAGTCTGCAGGAGAATCTGCATGCACATGTGTGCTTGTATACACAGTTCCTTGAAAGATTGGATTTTGATAATGTTCCTAAATTGTGAAAGGTTTTTTCTTTTTCTTTTTCTTTTTTTTTTCTTTTTTTTTTTTTTGGTTTTCGAGACAGGGTTTCTCTATGGTTTTGGAGCCTGTCCTGGAACTAGCTCTTGTAGACCAGGCTGGTCTCGAACTCATAGAGATCCGCCTGCCTCTGCCTCTGGAGTGCTGGGATTAAAGGCGTGCGCCACCACCGCCCAGCAAGATTTTTTTCTTTAAAGACTGGGTCTTGTACAACTCAGGCTGGCCTCAAACTGGCCATGTAGCCAAGGATGACCTTGAACTTCTGATTCTTCTGCTTCTACAAGTGTAGTGCTGGGATTAGGGGTGTGGGTCACCCCACTAAGTTTACATGGTGCTGGGGATGGATCCCAAGGATTAATGCCTGCTATGCAACTACTCTACCAACTGAGCCACATCTCTGGCCCACCTGGGAGCTTCTCACAGGGACTGGACACTGAGTAGGTGCAGCAGGTCCTGGGATGCACTGACTGCACAGAGAAGAAGGCTGAAAACCTGCACACTTAGAGGCTGGTGCTACATCCAGCCCCGCCCATCACCTCCTCACAAGCCTCCCTGGCGTCCATCCTAGATGGCAACACACAATAGGTCCTGGACTCTCTTTTGAGAGCCAAAAGAGGTTTGGCTTCTCTTGGCATGCCCTCCACAACCCACCCCTGCATGGTCTTACCCCCCACCCCCCCATCCCACCCCTGCCGCATGGTCTTACCCTCCATGGGAAATACTGGTCTTCAAGGCGTCCGATTCCCAAGCACCCTCGGATATTCTTGCCCCACACGAACAGTTCCCCCTTATCTGCAAAGAAAGGAAGACAGGGGCTTGGCTGAGCTACAGAAGGAGCAGATCATCAAGAGGATGGCCTTCCAAGAGTCAGGGAAAAACAGAACTTACTGCTCAACTTAGCCTCTGAACTGAATCTCAGAGAAAAGTACCTTAGAGAATGTTCTATCCATAAACCAGGCCCCAGGCCAGGCCTTCTGCCAGCCAGCCTAGGGAGACAAGTCTGTGTGTGAAGCAAACCCCAAGGCTCCCATGCACAGCCCTCTCTGCTCATTTTGACGGCCTGCTGCCACCCATAGCTCTGCCCTCTCTGACTGACAGTGAGGCAAGACAACCAGCTCTGAGTTTCAGGGTGTAGGTGTGTTCTGTGAGGAGCTATAGAGCAACTAGGTTCCTAACTGTGTCAGGGCTATGCCTGTGTGCTGGGCACTGGGGACAGAACAGCAACTGAAGAAACGTGTTTCCTGTCCTCATGGACTTCACCCAGTAGAAGAGCCAAAATGAACAAATGAACAAACTAATAAATACAATGGTTACACCTTGAAGAAAGTGCATTACTGTTAAGCCATGTCCCTCACTGGCAAAGTCTAGGCAGTCATTCTACTACTGAACCATGTCCCCAGCCCATCACTGGGGGGTTCTAGGCAGGGGCTCTACCACTGAGCCACACCCCAGCCCCTCACTGGGGGATTCTAGGCAGGGGCTCTACCACTAAGCCACACCCCAGCCCCTCACTGGGGGATTCTAGGCAGGGGCTCTACCACTAAGCCACACCCCAGCCCCCTCACTGGGGGGGTTCTAGGCAGGGGCTCTACCACTGAGCCACACCCCAGCCCCTCACTGGGGAATTCTAGGTAGGGGCTCTACTACTGAGCCACACTCCAGCCCCCTCACTGGGGGATTCTAGGCAGGAGCTCTACTGGTGAGTCATATCTCAAATCACAAAAGACTTCAGTTTTAGAAAGCAGCTTATTACAAAGTCACAGTGGGAGCCTCAGAGTGAAAAGGAGTCGTGCTGTTTGACTTAGGCATGGAGGTCAGTTACATGGCAGACTAAAAGTACCAGAAAAAGCAAATTTAGGCTCTGGTAAGAAGAAAAAAAGGAAAAGTTAAGCTTTTCTCTCAAGAAGATGTTTGACAGGCAAGGAAGCAGCAAATCCCTGGGAATCACTAGAGTGACATGCTCGCGGTAACTGCTGTCCAGGACTGCAGAAACTGCCTGAGCTGAGGTGTTGTGGCAGAACATGAGGAAGACAACGGTCTGCTGTCTAGACGCCTGTGGAGCTACTTGCTATTTCATAGCTCTACAGCCTGTCCAGTCGGTCTCCAGCCAGACGCCTCTGTGGGCACCCTCCCCAGCACCGTGGAGGCTCTGAGCTGTACCACCCTGCTCACTCATTTCCGCATCACTCACCCACACATGGCCCAAAGCTCCCTGGTTTTCACTAGCACTCTACCAGTCCCTTCTCCCTACTCCCCCACAGGCTCCTCCTAAGAGATCACACTACAGCAGATGCCTGACCACAAAACAAGGAATCCAAACCAAAACGCCAGCATGAAAGGAAGGTATGTGTTCTACAACACAGACTAGACTACCTCGGCATGGCCTCCCTCTTTACTTATCCCATGAAGACATCAATCTATTGAATGGATAGATGGATGGACAGACAGACGGACAGAGGATGGATGAGGAAGGGAGGGAAGGCTAGAGGACAGAAATGAACAGCTATAGAGGCAGCAGAATGGAGGAACGAACAGACAGAAACACGGGTGGATAAATGGTTGGCTATAAATGGATGTAGGTTGATGACAGAAGCTAAGCGCTGTCCCAGTTTGAGAAGGAACAGAGTTTGCCCTGTCGGCCCAGCAGGGTAACTTACTGGTAAGTGCGGCAAAATGGCTAAGACCACATCGGATCTGGGAAACCTGGACATCGGGGTTGAACTCTGTCAAGCCAAAGAGCGTAGGTGGAATCATTTCTGGAAGAGCCGTTTCCAAGAGGTTTGGTCCTTTCCCAAGAATTCCGTAGCCCCAGACGAAGATATGTCCTTCTTCTATGTTACAACAGAAACAGTGGTTGTGAGTGGCACAGCCCTCCTGGACATGAACACTACAGGGACTGGCGAGGGGCTCAGTTGGTAGAGTGCATGCCTAGGAAGCACAGAACCCTGGGTTCTATCCCTAGAAACCAGGCATGGCAGAGCATGCCTGTAATCCCCGAACTCAGGAGGTGGAGGCAGGAGGATCACCTTGGAATATATGAGTGAGACACACTGTGCTAGCAGGTTGAAAATGACTCTCTGCCCTGATTAAATACTTGTCTATGGAGTCTGGCTAGGGAGGAAGCCAAACTCAGCAGAAACAACCAACTTCTTGAGAGTAATGGAGGGAGGGTATCCATAAAACCCACAGGCATACAAAATTTTGGACATTTTCCCCATCAACAACTCCAATTTCATACTGATTGGAGCCATACCAGATACAAGCCATTCTGGCCAGATTCTTAAAACTCTTAGAAATGAGCTGGGTGGTGACACACACCTTTAATTCCAGTACTTGGGAGACAGAGCCAAGCAAATTTCTGAGTTCAAGGTCAGCCTGGTCTACATAATTCCAGGACAGCCAGAGCCACAGAGAAAACTCTGTCTCAAACAAAACACACACACACACATACAAATACACAAACACACATACACACACACAACTTTAGAAATGCTTTTTAACTTGCTTTCGGGGGAGTAGAAATTTTGAGTTTTGCTATGGGATTGTTTGTCTTTATTTTTTAGATTTAGATTTATTTTATGTGTATGAGTCATTTATTTATTTGTTTGTTTGTTTGTTTGTGTTTGTTTTGGCTTCTCGAGACAGGGTTTCTCTGTAGCTTTGGAGCCTGTCCTGGAACTAGCTCTTGTAGACCAGGCTGGCCTCAAACTCACAGAGATCCGCCTGCCACTGCCTCCCGAGTGCTGGGATTAAAGGTGTGCGCCATCACTGCCCAGCTGTGTATGAGTCTTTTGATCAAATGTGTATCTGTGTACAACATGAGTGCCTGATGTTTTGAGGTCAAAACAGGGTATCAAATTCCCTGGAGTAGAATCATGGATGGTTGTGAACTGCCATGTGGGTGCTGGGAATCGAACCTGGGTCTTCTGCAAAAACAAGTGCTCTTAACCACTGAGACATCTCTCCAGCTCCAGGTATTTAAAGATACAGTCTTGCTATATAGTCCAGGCTAGCCTGGAATTTAAAATCCTCCACCTCATCCTCCTGAGTGCTGGGAATCAGAGACCTATACCACAATGTCCAGTTTTCTTTTCTTCCCTTTCCCTGTCTTTCCTTTCTTCTCATCACTCTTCCCCCATTCCTCCCTTCTTTCTTTTTGGTACAGTACTAGGACAGTATCTGGCTCTCGTGCATAAGTGCTTTACCACTGAACTCTGCAGCCCTGGCTGTAACAAGTGCAGTACTGCTGCTCAGGGTAGAGCACAGTGACAAAGCAGGTTTCTCATGCACAAGACCCTGGGCAAGTGGCTCAGTGGTGGAGCCCCTGCCTAGAATCCCCCAGTGAGGGGCTGGGGTGTGGCTCAGTGGTAGAGCACCTGCCTAGAATCCCCCTAGCACGCACAGGGGCCTGTGTCTGACCCCCAGCTCCAAGATCCAGATGTTTGCTATAAAATGACAAAGCCCCATGGTTGTCTGTACATCTACATCATGAGGTACTAACCTGTTGGGAATCTCACCTCTACCCCGTAATCACTGAATGACTGTAACTAGATGCTCCCATAGCCACACTCCCCTCTTCAGGATGCATCTACAGCCTAGGAATCTGAAGCACACAAACTGTCCCATTCCCCCTCTGATCTGTCCAGTGCTTCTCAAAGAGATGCAAGAAGTGGCTCTCACCATTCAATACAGCACAGCCCGTGCCACCACAAGCCACCTGCTTCGCCTTGCCTACTTCAGAGAAAGGCAGGCACCGAGGGACATTAACCTGCACCGAAGAAAAGGGTGGGCATGGTTAGGAAAACAAAGGAGCCAGAAGTAGTAAGAATCCTTGGCTAAAGTCCCAGTTTACTTATTAACCCCAGTATGTCTCACTTACTAAGCTTCCTAACCAAGGGCTCAGGACACAAAAGGGTCCTGGGGGGCCCAGTTCCCACTCTTCTGGAAGGCAGATGTCAGACTCTGCCCCTCGTTACATCTGTGCTAGACCAAAGTGTGGAAGGGATTTCCCAGAGTCTCTAAGAGGCTGATCTGACATGGGGGAGGGGAGAGGCATCACTTTTCCTTAGCTCTGAAGGGTATGTAGGGTATGCAAGGGGAGAAGGGAGCATCCTCCAATGGGACGAGATGTACCAAGGGAACAGGACAAGGACAGCCCACTCTAAGAGATCAGGACTGGTAGCATATGCCTTTAATCACAACACAGGAGGCAGAAGTAGGTGGATCTCTATGAGTTTGAGGTCCTAGTCTACATAGAGAGTCCCAAACCAGCCAGAGTTATGAATTAAAACCCTGTCTTTAAAAAAAGGAAAGATAAGATAAGCATGGTGGCACACACCCCTAAGCTCTACCCTCAGGATGCAGAAGCAGGAAAATTTCTATGAGTTCAAGGACAGCCTGGTCTACAGAGCAAGTTCCAGGACAGGCTCCAAAGCTATAAAGAGAAAACCCTATAACGAAACACCTAAATAAATAAATAATAAGAGTTGGTGAGATAGTTCAGCAAATAAACCCGTTTGCTGACAAGCTTGACTACCTGAGTTCAATCCCAGGAACCAACATGATACAAGGAGAGAACTAGCTTTTACAAGCTGTCCTCTGACCACACACATGCCATGGCACACATAGACATACATGCTCCAAACAAATGAGTATAAAAACATTAAAATAAGCCGGGTGTGATGGTATACACCTTTGATCCCAGCATTCAGAAGGCAGAAGCAGGCAGACTCTATTAACTCAGGTCCAGGCTAGTCTACACAGCAAGTTCCAGAACAGCCAGGGCTAAAAAAAGAAAGATCTTGTCTCAAAGCAAAACAACGGCAAAACTAAATCAAAATTGTATTGGCCACTTTCATAGTGGCTCCCAGGGAGCTGGATCTCCTGCTATCCGCACCCACAGGTGAACCTGGGCTTGGGCTAACTCGGGTGACTTGCTTCTACTGAACAGAATTCCAGAAGTGAGGGACTGTCACTTCAAATGATCCAGCATGGCCTTCTCATCTGCTGATCTAATGGAGCCAGCTGCCACACTGTCAACAACCCCTCCAGAGTGGAGTGGCCCACATGGCAAGGAATCAAGAAAGCTCTGGCCAGCAGTTATCAAATGGCCAACCCCCCAGTGAGGCCCCAGGGCCTTGGTCCAGCAGAGAGCCTGCATCCTGACAACCACCAGCAGAGGAAGGGTGGAAGCAGCTCTTTTCTTGGTGAAACCCGGTAACAGGCTCAGGCCCAAGAAACCTGCTGCACGTGGCAGGTTCCTGACCCACCGCTACACACAAAATGTGAAGTGTTGGGAGTGCAACTCAGTGCAACAGCACCTGCCGAGTGCACTCAAGGTCCTGGGTGCCATTCCCAGAACCACAAAAACAAAAACAAAAGGCCTGGGCAGAGACACAGACGAGAGGTGTTAGCCATTAGCAGTGTGAGTTATGGGGTTGGTGAAGATGCTTTGGGAGTTTGACAGTAGTAAAAACCTTTGGGAGAAGGCTACAAGCTTTTTGTTTAAATTTATGGTTTCTTTTCTTGTTTGTATCGTTTTCATTTATTTTCAATTTTATATGCATTGGTGTTTTGCCTTCATATATGTCTGTGTAAGGGAGTCAGATCCCCTGGAACAGTTCCAGATACTGTGAGCGGCCATATGGATGCTAGGAATTGAACCCAGGTCTTCTGGAAGAGAAGCCAGTGCTCTAACTACTGAGTCATCTCTCCAACCTCATGTTTGCATGGTTTTTGAGACCAGGTTTCTCTGTGTAGCCTTGGCTGCCTTAAACTCACTCTGTTGACCAGGCTGGCCTCAAACTCATAGGGATCCACCTGCCTCTGCCTTCCGAGTTCTGGGATTAAAGGAGTGCACTACCACTGCCAAGCTGTTTAATTTTTATTAATTTATTCTATGTATCTATTATCGACATGTATATACACATGCACATGCACACATGACACAGAGAGCACACTGAAGGGCAGAGGACAACTTGTGAGAGTCAGATCTCTGTTTTCACCAGAGATCAAACTCAGGTCGTTAGGTTTGGTGGCAAGCCCCTCTATCTGCTGAGCTATGTCACCAGCCTGCAACCTTTGTGAATGAATCAAAACCTACTAAACTGAATCAATAAAAATATTTGTTGGAGGAAAAAAATTAATAAATTGCACACACTTCATATTGGTAAATAACAATTTGTAAATTATACTTTCATTATTAAGAACTGGCCATTAGGATGCCAAGCACAATAGTACACACCTTAAATCCCAGCAATTGGGAGGCAGAGGAAGACTGATCCTTGAGTTCAGCTAGCCTGGTCTACAATGAGAATTCTAGAATAGCCAGGGCTACACTGAGAAACACTGTCTCAAAAAATAAATAAATAAAAATAAAAGAAAGAAAGAAAACAAAGGAAAAAAAATTAGATGCCAAGAACTAGCCACAAACAAGTAATGTCAGTAAAGAATAGAAAGGTATTAGTTATGGACTGGGAAGACAGCTCAATCAGGAAGGTGCTTGCTATAAGGACCTAAGCTCTAACCCATCCCACACAAAAGCTGGGTATGAGGGTGTGCTCTTGTAATCCAAGCACAGAGAAGGCCAACACAGATCAGTCCCAGAATCCAGCCAACCTAATGAATGAGCCTAGGTCTCAGTGAGGGACCCTGTCTCAAAAAATAAGGTGGAGAGCTTCTGGGGTATGACAACTGAGGTTGTCCTTCCTCCTACAGACAGATAGACACACACACACATATAACACAATGAAGAAAGATGTTAGTTACAAAATTAATCTCTACTTTTTGTTTATGTTCAAAATAGTCCTTTTTTTTTTTTTTTTGGATTTTTCGAGACAGGGTTTCGAGACAGGGCTGTGTAGTGAAACAACAGAACATGCCAGGTGTGGAGATGCACATCTGTAATTCCAGCACCCAAGAGTTGGAGGCAGGAGGATCAGGAGTTCGAGTCATCTCGGCTACAGAGTAAGTTTGAGACCAGCCTGGCTACATGAGATTCTGTCTCAACAAGTTAAAGGAAGATACAGGCTCCAGAGCATGCAGACCCTAAACATACAAGCTGTCACTGAGGCTGGCCTTGGCTCATGGTCCGTCTCCCCAGTAGTGGGAGTACAAGTATGTGCTGCCATGCCCGACTGGCTTTAACAGTTTATTAAGGACTATTTTAGCCGGGCGGTGGTGGCGCACGCCTTTGATCCCAGCACTCGGGAGGCAGAGGCAGGCGGATCTCTGTGAGTTCGAGGCCAGCCTGGTCTACAAGAGCTAGTTCCAGGACAGGCTCCAAAGCTACAGAGAAACCCTGTCTCGAAAAACCAAAAAAAAAAAAAAAAAAAAAAAAAAAAAAAAAAAAAAAAAAAAAAAGGAAAGAAAAGAAAAAAAAAAAGGAAGGAAGCAAGGAGATAAACTTAATGCACTATCTTAGCTGGATGTGGTGGCACTTGCCTGAGATGGCAGCATCAGCAGGCAGAGGCAAGTTGAGGCCAGCCAGATCTGTGCAGCAAAACCCTGTCTCAAAGCACACACATACTGGCTGGGGAGATGGCTCAGTGGTTAAAGTTCTTGCCTGCAGGCCTGAGGACTTGCGACTGGATCCCCAGTAGCCTGCCTGTGACTCCAGCCTCTAAAGGCCAACATGGGGGAAACCCAGAGCAAGCTGCCCAGCAAGACAAACTATACTGATAAGCTCTGAGTCTGATTTAGAGTCCCTGCCTCAATCAATATGATAGAAGGATAATCAAGGATGGTTCCCAAGATCAACCACAGGCCTCCACATGCACATGTGCACACACGTAAAACATGCACACACACCACACAACACAGAGAAAAAAAACACACAAAAATAAAACAACACTGTCTTAAGCCAGGACCAGCTAGTTGCAGTAGCCTCAGACCTCCTCTTCTTTTGGGGCGCTAAGAAGACAGCAGAGCAGAGGCAGTGTGACACCAGGCTACACACCTGAGTGGAGTCTGTGACCGAGGCCAGCTGCAGGTATTCAGAATTTCCCCAGCCAAAGACACCTCCATCCGAGGACACAGCCAAGCAGCAATCACCGTAGGTGGCAACCTGAACAACTGTCACCCCAGCAAGGTCTCCGGCCAGCTTGGTGGGTGTGCTGGTGATGTTGTAGTGACCCAGGCCTGCACAGTAGGAAACATGCATTAGCTCACAGACACAGGAGACTTACTGGGTAGCACTTTGCACCAAAGAGGACAACAACAAAGTCGTATCTGGTCTACTTTAAACACCCTAGGAATGTTTAGGTCTAAATTAAGTGGAAAGACTGAGGACAGGAGGATGGCAAGTTCCAGGACAGCCTCGTCTATACTGTAGTTCCAGGACAGCCTTAGGAACAGATCCTCGACAAATGTGGTGCACACCTTTATGCCCAGCACTCGGGAGGAAGAAGAAGAAGGAGGCCTCTGTGAATTCAAAGCCAGCCTGGGCTACCCAGCAAGTTCCAGGATAGACAGGACTCAATAGAAAGGAAGGAAAGAAAGGAGAAAGAGCAAACCCTCAAACAAAATCCCCAAAAGTCAAGTTAGAAAATTTTTGAAGGGGCTGGAGAGATAGCTCAGCGGTTAAGAGCTTTGCCTGCTCTTCCAAAGGTCCTGAGTTTAATTCCCAGCAACCACATGGTGGCTCACAACTGTCTGTAATGAGGCCTGGTACCCTCTTCAGGCCTGCACGTAGACAGAATATTGGATACATAATAAATAAATAAATATTTAAAGACAAAAAAAATTTTTGCAGCCTGGTCCACAGAGCTAGTTCCAGGACAGGCTCCAAAGCCACAGAGAAACCCTGTCTCGAAAAACCAAAAAAAAAAAATTTGAAGATGAACTAGCATTATATGATGAAGCTTTTAGAGTTTGTATAAATAATAAAATAAGCAATTACAGCCTTTCTTCTATGCACTGTTTTTTTTGGGGGGGGGGGCTTATAGTTCTAGGGATAGAATTACCAGTGAGCTATATCCCAGCCCAGTGAGAAGCAGTTTCTAACACTCTCTGGGCTTGCTAGCAGATCCAGAAGCCAGGCACAGTGGCATGCACCTGTAGGTTTATGTACATGTAGACTCAGCAGGCGAAGGGAAGAGGCCATTTAGGCCAGGAATTAGATGCCACCCAGGCAGCACAAGACCTTATTAGGCAGCTGGCCAAAGCACAGCACTGAACCACAGACTCTTGGGTAAACCAAGATCTCAGAAAAGCAGAAGCCCTGGTACCAGGCCAGGGCCAATGAAATGCCTTTTAGAGGAATGCTCTCTGATGCAGGTCCTGAAGGTTCCCACAAATTGAACTCAATAAAACACGAGTTCATAATCAAGTCACTAAGCCCCTAAGGGGATCGGGTACTACTGGCATGAGTCAGCAGAGGCAACAGACAAGCCTGCTCCTCCAGACTCCAATCGCTAGGATAAATGAGGCCCAGGGCTCTGCTACTGACAACAGTACCGAGGAACCTCTGGCACCGTCTTGGTTCGTTTCTATGGAAACCAGCAGCAAAACGAACAGGAAAGGATGTAAAAGATGGCAGTCCCCAGAAGACCCAAATCTAGACCATTAACCCTACAGTCCACAATGACTGCAGAGGCCACAGACCAAGATCTTTCACTTCCCCAAGGGGGCAACAAGCACCTACCTGTCTGTCCATCGGCACCCCATCCACAAGAATAGACTTCCCCTTTGTTTGTGAGGAACAGGCTGTGGTCCTGACCACAGACAACCTGGCAGACACAGAGACACAGTGCTGTTCATGCCTAGGCAACCAAGCCTGTGCGGGGGGCAGTGGATTCTCCATCAGTTCTTCCCTCCTCCACCCCCACACTGACCTCCCATCTGCCCTCCCCACCTCCACTCTGTAACCTTCTGTAGCGAGCTGCGTGGTGTCACACCTGATGGAGATGTATAATCAACTCCTGAGATGGCTAAGGCCTGACCTATGCTATGATCACTCAATGATTATCAGCTGCCTGCACATGCGTGAACCTATGGGCAATGCCCACCTGGCAGTTCAGGGTTGGCAGCCCATACCTACTTAAGGGCTGGGAGAGGTTTGCCCGAGGGGGGGGGGGG